CCCTGGAGGTGTCTAAGGCCAGGCTGGATGGGGCTTTGAGCAACCTGGTCTGGTAGGAGGTGTCCCTGCCCATGGCAGGGGGGTTGGAACTCGATGATCTTCAAGATCCCTTCCAACTCTAACCATTCTATGATTCTATGAAATAACACAGCAGAACTTACTGTTAGAGCCACAGCATTGCATTCCTTTCTTTGACCAGTTTCATTGGGTTCTTCCTTGCTGATTAACTTATTATTTTGCAAAATCTCTGTAAAACCACAGGTAAACTAACCAAGGTTTTCTGTGGGAAAAGCAAAGGGAAGTCTTGACAGCAAACCATTATAATAAGTCAGAGTTTTGTTGCTGACTTTATGATGCAGAATTGAGATAGGGTAAAAAGATATGGTGAATAGCTCCAATTAACTTTATGTTTTTATTAGCCTTTTTTCCTCCTGACAAGCAATTTATTTTGTTTTCCTTTTGGTGCAGCTTCTTATATGGCGTTTATGTGGGTTTAATGAAGAGAGTTCAAAAGATAACTCTATATAGAAAATAGTATTTCTGAAAGAGACTCGATAAGCAATAAATAAAGTACAGAAAGCAGAGATCTCATGCGAAGAGAAAAGCAGATACTTCCTTTTCAGAATTTCCTTAACATACAACAAGATGAAGGATAGAGTCCTTGTAGTTTCAAGTCTGTTAAAACTGTGGACGAGTGCAGTTGGATTCTCCTGCTCTTTCAAGGACCACATGACAACACGTTATTGAAGGCAGAATCTCCTAATCCAAAAAGAATTTGTGACATGCTCGACTTAAAGATCTACTTGTGTTCCACCTACAGCCAGGATAAACTCCTGGATGTTTTTAGACATGACATTTGGGGTTTTTCTCTTGTCTTCAGTAGGACTTGCTTTTTTTTTTTTTTTCTTTTTGTTCTATAATCACCAAAATTAAACAGAAACACACAAAAATGCTCTGGTTGTTTTCTTTTTATATGAGCGACATGTAGCCTTGAAATTGATGGGGGGGTTCTATGCTGCAAGTACAAAAGTATAAAGGCTGCTAAAAACAAACATATAACAAAGTCATATAAACATACAAATGGAACAGCAAGTTCTAGGGTTTTAAGACGTTCTTGAAAAGGCAAATGTACAATATCAAACCTTTCTTCAGAAGATCACCTTTAAGAACAGTGTGTATTGGAAATGCTGAAAACAGGTGTCAGGGAACACTGTGGGCTGAACTCTCTGCTGTGTCTGTTTGAGGTACAGATGTTGTTAGCTGGGTAAAGCTGTAGTGGACTTCTATCCTAAAAAAAACCCGCAACCCACAAAACAAACAAGAAAGCCAATGACAAATGTGGGGCCTTTCTAGGTGCTATTGGAAGGAACAATCATACCCTCCTGAACATCAGTAGGGATTTTAATTTAGTGTCATTATTTTTCCTTGTTTCTTTGTTTTTCCATCCTTTGATGCTTCACCTCATAGTTTATATTTGTTTGGTGGACAGTTATTTTTCTCTTGGTAAATATGACTGAATTCCTAAGATGGTTGCTCACCATCTTAAAGAAACAGCGAGTGACTACTTAACTACTGCAACTGAACTGCAAATCTCAAAGTCACTATAATAAGAAGCCTTTATTTGAAGAAAGTGTTAAAAATCAGGTTTACTAATCTGTTGCTAAGATAAAATGCCTTCATGTAACATATTTTAGAGAATTAGACAATGCCTCTGTCCATTTTAGCTTGAGAATAAGAAGTGCCAAAGTTTTTATCCTGCTTAAAGGCAAATACCCTCTGCTATGCCACCCACATGTACCCAATCTGTCGGAAAACTGGAACTATGTATTCCTTTAGGATTGAGAACATAATTCTTTAGCTGTCAGATTATTCTGACAAATTACATTATAATTACTTCCTCATTAATTACTGTGACAAATGTTGGTCTAAAGAGAACAGGGAAGGATGTCTTTCATTTGAAATCATCAAAACATGAACAACTGAGATTTCCTCTGAACACTCGAACGTTCATTAATATTTGGGTATGCTAACATGTTCATTCCTATTGCATATAAGCAAAGAGAGACTTCTAGCACCTGTCACTTTCAGATATGACAATTTCATTTCCTTCTGAACATGTTAAAATAACATCTTTTCTTTTTGCAAGGAAGTATATTTCTGTCTGATGGTATGAGGCATGATCCATAATTGGTCTAACAGCATGAAAAAAATAGATGCTCTCTTTCTGAGAAGTTGTTTAAAGTGTGACAAAAGTACTCATAGTGGAATACACTACATTCCTAGAGTATGGGGTCCTCAAGGAAGGTAAAGAACAAATAACAGCTCCAACCACTGTGATAAAGCATGAGGGATGGGAATTATTTGCAACCTGAAAAGAAACTTACTTTCCTTTTGAAGCAAGAGAGAGATTGGAAAGGAATTGCCTCTCTTCAGGATCCAGTTCCCTCTTTGAGTTCATTTTTGGCTGCTGGCAGTCTCACCCTAAGCATCAGGCCTGACACAGCAGAGGGAAAATCTGTGCATTATCCCATCACCATATGAATGCTACAGTTTCTTGATGCATCTGTGAAAAAGCAGGAGAGGAAAGAATTGCACACAAGATTCAAAGGCACTTTGTGATAAGATTTATAAATCTTGTTGCAGCTTGGTTCAGCCATTGGGGTAGAGTTGTTTTCTCTCCTCAAAGATACTAGAGTAACAATTCCAGCCTGTAGGAGAGATTGAAATCTGTGAAGTGTGGGTAACTGATCTGTTTGTACTCAATGGACAACTTGTACCAGAATGTCCTTGCGAGCAAGAGAATAACCTGCATCAACCCTTACCCACAAGGGGATGGGGAGGCTGCATTCATTAGGCTTGCTTTGCCCAAGGAGTTATTAAAGTGCAGTCAGACTCTCTGCAATTCCGCAAGATTCCAAAAGGTAGGAGACGTTGGGTCAAATCCCAGTTCTGCAGCTATCTTGCCCTGGGACCGTGGACAAAATTGATTGTTTGAATCTATACACCTTTCGCATAGTGGGTGAATTACTGGCAGGACTCCCATTGATTGGGGAGCTCCCAGGGTTTTTCCCACTGGGTGATACCTTAACATACAAGTGGTTTTTCTATGTGTGCATCTAGGAAGTGTGATCACGGCTTTTATTTTTATTTCTTTGGTACCCTTGAAAGACCTTTTGTAGCTCAGGAGAATGAGCTGACCTCTTTTGTTCCCCTAGCCTGAAAAAGGTCATATTTTGTTTAACTAACCTTTGAAAACACCAGGCCAAATTCTACTCCCACTGCACCGTTCAGAATGGCTGCGGAGTAACTGTCTCACAGCTCTGTAACTGAGAGCAGTATTTTTACCCAAATCTTTCCATCTTCTGACTTGTAACAAGTGGACATCTCAGTATGCCCAAGGCTGCAGACAGTCATACCTCTTACACGTTCTAGTGTTGGTTGTATTCTAGATGTATAGGTGCTTTAATAGCAATATTAGTTCTTTGGTTCAGCTGCAGTGTAACAGAGAGAACATGGACTGCTAAAGTAGAGATGCTCGAGTCTCAGCTGCTCTTCAAGAGTTGGACTCTTTTTTGGCTGATGTTTTTTCATCTGATCAATGCACAATAGTAATTATATTTCATTTGCACTTTAGAACTGTGACTTATACCTTCCTCGTTACATCTTCTGGTGGTTTAGGTTCCAATACTTCTTTTTTCTTCAGAATCTTCATGCTTTTTTGTTTTTATTATTTAAATGTCTTTCCTTTTCACTAGAATAGTGCTCTGAACCTTATAAACTAATTTTCAGGACTTCTGTCATTTTTTTCCCATCATATTTTGGCATAGCCTCAACACTATAGCAGGCTAAATAAGCTTTGAACTAACATACTTACACAAGATTGTAAAATACATGAAATTACTTTGTTTCTATGATTTTTCAAAGAGAAAGCTTTGAATACAAGCTTGGACAATGTATTCATTATAAATAAGAAGAGGCCATGCAAAACTTCTGCATATTGTTTTAATAAAAATCTTCATTTTGACATGCTTATATTTTGTGCTTCTTTAACATGTTACTTTCTTCCTAGCAAAGCAAGAGGAAGGGTACGTCTAGCCTGTACTTCACTGAGACTCTGGTTCCTGGAACTTTTGGGTTTGTTCCTTTAATTTAAATTGAGGATACAAATACATATAAAAGGATGAAGCTGCAAAAGGGCTGCTTCCAGCCACAGGCATCAGAGATTTGTTTTCACATAATAGCTGCTTGCACAAAGCTGAGACTGTATTGTGAAGAGACGAAGAAATGAGGTGGCAGGTTTCTTTCTCATAGAGGCTTCTGTATCATTTAAAAATCAGACCGATGTTTGTCCTGACTTCTGAAAAAAAACCCACCATTTTGGTACACATGGTTTTTTTTCTTCCATTATCTTAACAGCAAATGTAAAAAGGGAAAAAAAAAAAACCAAAACAAAACACCATCAGTTCCTCATGGAGCAGAGTTGGTATCCAGAACGCTAATCAGGCAATGAACGTGGATGGTACAGAATAGAGGACAGGGAGGATGCAGTAGAGTGCGGCTTCCAGCCATGCTCTAGCTGCTCTGTGGACCTTAATTTCTAGGAACACCAGTCCAGCATCTTTCTTAGAAAATACATTCCCTCAAATAATCAACAACTTAATTTTAAGTCAGTACTATGTCAAAATGGATATTAAGCAACCTTGTCTTCACTCCAGAAAAAAAAAAAATCCCATATGTTCAGACACTGTTACATAGCAGTCAGAATTGTGTCAAGTGTTCTCTTAAAACTGCTTCCATTTCACATTCCCATTGGTAAGTCCCACAATGAGTTTCAGAGCTTCATTTACCTGGACTAGTGGGAGGTGTCCCTGCCCATGGTAGGGGGGTTGGAACTAGATGATCTTCAAGCTCCCTTCCAACCTAAACCATTCTATGATTTCTCTTGTACTTAAAAGCTTTTTTATTATTTTTTTATTATTATTTCCAGGCTAAATTTCTACATGGCTAGAGTGCATCCATCTGTTCTTCTGGTGATGTTCTTCTTTAGATGGAATAGCTCTTCCCTCTCACGGATATTTACCTCAATGATATAAGCAACAGCCATGTTGCCTTTCTTTGAGTCTTCTCTTCACATGAGGGTCCATATTCTTCTACACTCCTACAGGTGTTCTCTGGACCTGCTCTGATTTGATCTTTTATAAGATGGAGGTGGAAAGCTGTCAACTGTCCCAGACAAGGTTTCTCCATGCATGGTGGCTTTAGTAGTTCCATCTTCTTAGTGGAATGACCTTGCCTGTTATGCTCTGTGATTGTATTCACCTGTCACCTGACCACCCACAGTGATGCTTCATAAATGTGGATTAATGTGCCCAGCTGCCTCAGTGCTAATGTCGTGTTCAGCCACAGAGTTCCTAGCTTATATTGGCTTTGTCATTGCACTTCTACACTCCTCTTCTCAGAGAATCCACTTCTTCCAGTATGGAATTCTAGTCTCTGCAGATACTGACTTTGCCTCTTTCTTATGAATAAGGTAGTCCTATTGGCTGTGCCAAGAAAACAAATTAAACTAAGTAATTCAACTGCTTCTGAGACTTATCCTTGAGGACCCTCCATGATTAACTGTATCTCCCTCTGCTTCCTGAGTCTACAGGAGTAGTATCACCTCACCTTTAGCGAGTTCCTTCATTACTTTGCAGTTCTTGGGCTATCCCACATCCATACTTTCATTCCAGGAAAAAGGAAAGAAATGGTAATCTATCTTAGGCTAGATGAGGTGAACTCAAGATTCATAGAATATTCAGACTGTGAAACAGGCAGCTCCCAAATTCAAAAGGCTGCTTTTTGGCCACTGTCAAGCAGAATGCTTCAACCTAAGCACGACCCCTAAGGATTGAAATGCATAAGGATTGAATTTCAAGGGTAGAAATTAAAAATTATGTTTGACATCACACAGAGTCTCACATTCTTTGCTGGGTTGGTGTCTGTATTACTACAAAGTGTCACTCTTGTATTGATTTGTGATACATCAATGTAAAAACATAACCGGTCATGGCTGGCGGGCTCCAGAGTCCACAGCAGCATTCTGAATCCTTCTGACGCACGTGAACTTAGGGTTTCAGCTCCATCTCCCACCATAAACCTTTACTGAGGCTGTTGCAGAGGTTTAGCTTTATTTCTGTTGAAGATACACCATCACAGCTTTCCCTCATACATGTCATCTCTAGTAGCTAACAATTTTAGCTGCTAGAGCTCTAAACAAAGTTTATTAATGAAACCAGAACCCAGACTGCCTAGAGTGTCTGGTCTGATGTTGCACCATGTCTGAAAAGTACGAGGGACACGGCAAAGCCAAGCTCAGAGAAGTACCTGGCAAGACTGTGGATAACAGTAATCTCACTGAGCATTTCCTCCTTTGGCTCCTCCACATGATCTCTTGTAGGAGTACAGTGCAGAAACACCGGTGTAGACTTCACTTTAGTGTGAAGGCACAAACAAGAAGCTTCCTTTTGCATCCAGATGCTGAAGGGAACCCATCAATAAGCCACAACTCTTTTTAAGAGGGTTGAAGAGGGAGAGAATTAAGGCTTACACACATGTATTTAAGTCCAGACCTCATTCTTTTAGGAATCAGGTCTGTAGAAGAACCTTGCAAAAGTTCTTCTTAGGAAGAACCTTGCAAAGTGAATAATGAAAGTTTCCATTCTAAATAAATAATGATAGCAGAATAAGGCCTGCTGGTTGGTCATCACGTTAAAGACAGTTATCACAGTAGACCTGCAGGTGAAGGGAGAAGACACAAGGTCAGACCGTGAAGGGAGGGAGCAGGCTGAAGGCTGCTGAGGCTTTTTTTGAGGCACTCACTCAAATGCGATTGATCGCAGCTGCCCTGAAGGACTCACATAGAAATTTAGATCTAATTGGGTGCAAAAGAATAAGTGAAAAGCACCAATAAGTTGAAGCAGGAGCAGGGTCATTTCCCCAAGGGCTGCAAGGGGCTGAAGTAGGGGGCAGGTTTCTCCCCAGCAAGAAGCAGCAGGACCTGGGGTTCCTGCACCGGAGTTCCGTGCCCCGTATCCCAGGGAAGGGGGTTCCTCAGGTCTCTCAGCCAACCCCCCCATTTTTCCAGAAATGGCTCAGTTACCCCAGGGGGGCCTCCAGGCCAAGTCGAGGTGGGTTTTGTTTACAACCAGGGATGGGGGCAAAGGAAATCTCCCTCGGAGGGGAAGAGCACTGGGGAGCTGCATCTACGGGGAAATGGGGGGGGGA